ATCTCATCAAAGATACTGAAAGACTTCGGATATAATTAATTGGGATTTTATTCAATTGGACTGGTTTACCTATTCTTTGCAATAATGAGTCCATTTTCATCAGCTATTATTGAAAAAAGAGGAGCAAGATTCGCTGTAAGAGTTGGAAGTATAACTTATTTTCTATATATTGCAGCACTCCTGTTCCCCACTTTGAAGGAGAATAATAAAAACTCAGATCTATTTATTTTCACAGATGGCTTTATCTACTCGGTCATTATTATATTCGCAATAATAAATGGTATCGGCAGTTCACTTCTTTGGTGTGGTCAAGGAGTATACCTCTCTGAATGTGCAAGTGAGAAAACTAAAGGACTATTCTTCGCCATACTATCAGCACTTTCAATGTCATCTTAGTTTCTTGGAAATCTATTGTCAGCTTTAATATTAGGAAACACAGATAAGCTCACATATTTCATCATAATGGCGAGCATTGCAGCAGTTGCTTCAATTCAACTTTAATTTCTGAGAGCTCCTAAGCTAGCCATATCATATGAAGAGAGTCAATCTGTTTTATAACAACATGAAAATAATGAAAACATAAAGATTGCTGGAGGTACAACTAATAATGCAGATGAAACTATGCAGACTTATCAAGAAACATTACTACCAGCTTTTAAAAGGGAAATAAGCAACTTTGAATAGCAAGATAATAAAAAGAATATAAAGGAATCTTTGAATGCTACTATTTAAACCTTCAAAGACAGATAAATGATAGTAATAATACCTTACATGATATAAGTAGGTTTGACAAATGGATTATAATCAGGAATATTCGTAACAATGCTATCTAGCACAATGGATAAAAATACCACACAGAATAAGTAATTTGAAAATTCTTTGTTTGTTATGACTGCTTTTGGGGCAGGAGAAATTTTTGGAGGATTTCTAATGCAATATGTGATTAAGAAATTTAAATCAAACAAAGCTGGAATTGTTTATCACTCAATTTTAGCTTCTATTGGATTTATTACTCTTTTGATATACACCTCTATTTTCGAATTTAATGCTTTAGCATATATCTTTGCATTTTGTTTTGGTATGATGGATTCAGCTTCAAATACCCATATAAGCATGATTTGTGGTTTTGAATTCGATAAGAAAAGCACTGAAGCGATGGGTATATTTTACTTTGTGAAACCTTTTGGTATATTTATAGCAGTTATTATTGAAAGTTTCTTTGACAGCGGAGACGACATTTAGCTCTTGATTTACTATGCATTATGCTACATTTTCTACATGTTCGCTTATGCTCTTGTTTACTTAGAATTTTAATTTACAGACAACTAATAAGAGAAAAATAGTTAATTTGATATAAATTAGAATGATAATCTAAACAAAGCGAATTAAAATAAAATAAATATTGAGAAGTAACCGTAATTAGATTGAATTATATAATGCAGTTTGATTAAATATTCAAATATTACAAATATATTTTACAATTAATGCATGCTGGGGTTTTGGGGTTTTGGGGTTTTGGGGTTTTGGG